GTGACAGAAGTATTAACCGGTCTTCCTTGTAAGCATATGGATATTATCCTATCACTGACAACATCGTACTTCAGGACAGATATGGAAACATTATTTGAGACAATGAATGCCATGCCATTCCTCTTCAATTTGTCATTCCCACCACAGTAGATCATATGGCTGTCTGATTCCAAACGGCCAAACTCAGTCCATTTCAGCTCACTAATGCCTAGAATACTGGTCTTTATGCATTCCATTTCATTTTTGACAACTTCCAGTTTTCCTAGATTCTTACTTCGTACATTCCATGTTCTGATTATTAATCGATGTCTGCAGCTCTTTCTTCTCATTTTGAGTTATGCCACATCAGCAAATGAAGATCCCAAAAGCTTTACTCCATTCATATCATTAAAGTCGACTCTACTCTGAGAAGGCAGATCTTCCCCAGTCATATTTTGATTGCCTTTCAACCTGAAGGGCTCATCTTCTGGCACTGTATCAGACAATGTTCCAGGGCTATTCATAAAGTTTTCCAGTAATGTATCAGACAGTGTTTCACTACTATTCATGAGGCTTTCACCAGCCAATTCTTTGAGAAATGGATGGCCCCTTCCTTTTTTCCAGTCTGTTTTAATCTGGAAGTTCTGCTAAAACCTGTCCACCATGGGTGACCCTACTCGTATTTGAAATACCAGTGGCATAATCTCCAGCTTCACAGCAACATGCAGGCCACCACAGTGTGACAAACTGACAGACGAATGGTGGACATACCCATTAGATGGGCTAAAATTAACAAGATTGACCCTGTCATGTATTCACAAGGATGTGGAGAACCAAGAACTTTCCTGTATTATTTTTGAGAATGTAAAATAGTACAGTCACTTTGGAAAACAGTTCAGCAGTTTCTTATAATGCTAAACATACACCTACCCCATGATCTAGCCATTCTACTGCTAGGTATTTACTCAAGGGAAATGAAAACACACATACAACCCAAAGATATCTACACAAATATTCACAGGAGCTTTGTTATAAGCCCCAACTAGAAATCACTGAAGTGTCCATCAACAGGTAAATGTAAAAATTAATCGCAGGTCATCTGTACAATGGACTATGCCTGCATGTGTTCCACAGAAGCAGAGACTTAGCAATAAAAAGGATCTAACTACTGATATTGTAGCAATATGGATGACTCTTAAATAATCTGCTGAGTGACAGTAGCTGAGAAAAAAAAAAAAAAAAGTACATGCTATAGGATCCCATTTATATAGATTGTAGACAATGTAAGCTAATCCACAGGAACAGAGAACAGATTATGGCTACCTAGGGATAGGCATGGATGTAGAAATGGCTTATAAAAGATGGTATGGAAACTTTTGGGGAGATGATGGAAATGTTCATTAATTTGATCGCTTTCACTTGTGTATATTTATATCCAAATTGATCAAATTGTATACTTCAAATATGTAGAGTTATTGTATTCATTACTCCTCCATAAAGTTAGGGGGGAGCACATTTCTAATTTTAAAGCACAGAATTCCTATGGTCTGAAATAAATCTCTGCCTCCTAAAAGACTGCTTTGAAACGCGTTACAAGTTATTCCATATCTAATAATACTGAGAGGAGGCCAATTTAGACTGAAGTTGAAGAGGGAAGTGATGAATAATAGGAGTAGGGAGCAAACAGCTTAAACTACATGCAGGGCCAATATAAATGTGTTATTTTAAACAAGGAAAGTACAGCTGCTTCCCTAATCACATGAAAACAAGAAATTTATGCTTCTTCTCCATGAATAACTGAGAGAACACTGTTCACCTAAATATTATAAAGAAAATTTACAAGCAGGTTGGATTTTGGTGAATGTTATGGACTGAACTGTGCTCCCCCCCAAAATATGTGTTATAAATCTTAACCTCTAGGCTTACAGTTATAACCTCATTTGGGAATGAATTATCTTTATTATGTTAATGAGGCAGGATTAATGTAGGGTGTGTTTTGAATCACTCTCTTTAGAGATATAAAAGAGATTAAACTAGCAAGCAAGTAGAGACAGGGGAAGATTGATACCAAGTCACACTGAGATCTCCAAGGAAAACCAGGAAACAAGCTAAAGCAACAAGGACCTTCCCTCCAGAGCTGACAGAAAGAGAAAGGCTTCCTTAGAGCCAGCACCCTGAACTTGGACTTCTATCCTCCTAAACTGTGAGAAAATATATTTCTGTTTGTTAATGCCATTCCCACTTGTATTTTTGTTATAGCAGCACTAGATAAGTAAGACAGTGAACAATGAGATTCTCCCATTTTCAACAGGTTAAAAGCAATAAAAGTAAAGAGACCTTCTTTCAAAGGTAGAGATACTGCCTCAGAAATCCAAGTAGGGGTAGCAATGAGTCAGAAACGACTTGACAGCAGTGAGTTTTAGCTTTTTTTAAAAAAATAATAATACAAAATAAAAATTAACCAAAACACAGCACGGTAGTTCTTCTCAAACCCTGACAGTCCTGAATCACTGTTGGGGGAGGGATCGAAGAAAGGAATGACTCTTTTACAACTATTTTTCCTGGTTCAGAAAATGGAGGCACATGGCTCTCAGAAACTGAAGCCAAACATTAAATCCATAAACAGCATCCCCTTGTTCTGGTTCTATGTTCATCCAGGAATCACACCATTTTAATTTCTCAATATAGCTGTCTTAGAGAAAAACATGTAGGTGAGGGTGGAGGTCCAATCTACCTAACAATTCTATTTCTTGTTCTGAGTTAATAAGTCTATGTCTGATTCACACAACAGTCTCTTGTGAGCTTTGATAGAAGGAATCAATAGAAGAAGGAAGTTTAGTGGGCAGGGATGGTATGATTAGTATAATGGGTCCTTGATGCTATTTCTTGGACCAAAATGTTAGTTTATAACAAATTAAAAAGGATAAGAACAATAGGGTAAATTTTTCATAAGCTAAGTTTATTCTATTATGAGATTTTACCCTTCCTAATTTTTAGTATTACAATATCCTTTCTTATATGAAATGACAGCAGTTATAGATACATTCTTTTTAATGTCTTCATGTGGCAAAATATAAAATTGGCAACTCTATGCTCCCAAGTCTCCAAATCTTTTTAAAATATTATTGATTTATGAATTGCAAATTCTACAAATCACTCAATGAGAGAGGTAACACATTCAAAAACATGTGAAAACTTTGGCCTCCATTGTTCTTCCTCAGAATATATTTACATCACAGAAGCAGACATAAAGCATATGAGTGTACATGTGTTTACATATATATAATTATGGACGATGAATACATTAACTGAATTAAGATGCAAATGGATGCCTGCATGTGTTCCAAAGAAACAAAAACCCAGAAGACACCAGTAGTCCATACTACATCTCCCTAAAGCATGTGTCAGCAGGGTTCTACATTGAAATTCGAATGCCTATAACATAACAATTATTGTACTTACACACTCACAAAGCTCAAGGTCAAAATGCTACAATAGTAAGAAAGAATAATTAAAAAATGGATAAATTTCCATTCCAACAAACCAACTGTTGTTGTATCTAATTAGTTTACCTTGAGTAGCTTGTGAATAGCCATTAAGTTAAGTGAAATCATCAGTTGATTTCACAAGTTTGAAATTCTGTTTCTCTTCTCATAAATGAAACAGATGATCAATATAAGGGATTAAGAAAAAGGATTCTTTTTTTCCAGCCACTAGGCAAAGTTTATGAGTACCTAAGTGCCAGACACCATGCTGAACTTAAGAAAACTTCTACAAGCAAATAATTGATCATTCTGCCTAGTATACACTGTTCCACCGTTCAGACAAAACACAACTTTGCCCAAGAGCTACACACTGAAGAGGACTATTTTAGAGGCAAAGGAACAAAAAAAAACTTATGATACCAGGCTTAAGGAATAGTAACAGAGAAAAGGGAAAAGAAGGAATGGTTCTTAACACAGAAGATCAAAACCAGAGCTTCCTAACTCCCTAGCGTGCTGAAAAGGGTTCCAGGTGTAAGGTAATTCCAGGATGCCTTAGAGATGATAATTTTATGTGTGCCATGTTAAAGATTGTTGTTGTTGTTGTTATGTGCCGTCGAGTCGGGCCCCGACTCATAGCGACCCCTCCTTGGGTTTCTGAGGCAGTATCACTACGGAAGTAGGATTGCCCAACCTTCCTTCCGAGGAGTGGCTGGTGGGTTTGAAGATTCGAAAGCACCAATCTAAACTACTTGTTCCCAAACATATTCTAGGATGGCTGCATTAGAATAATCTGGGGAGTATGTTAAAAAATATGGATCCCTGGGTCCTACCTGCACATTTTCCAGTTCAGAGGATCTGAGGGAAAGCCTAGGAATATGTATTTTAACTAGGTCCTCAGATGATTCTAATGAGCAATCACATTTGAGAAACAGATCTAAACAATCTACTCAAAGTGAAAATAAACATTACTCAATTCAAAGGAAAGAAATTTTAAAATCAGTCGATAAAACTCACTAAGCTAGCAATATAATTGTAAGATGAAAGAAAGAAATCACTGTAGTCACAAGCAGATCAGCTGTTTAAAGTAAGGATGACATTTGGCTTGGGGAACCACAGATACAAGAACTCATACTAAATGGAAAAGAGTCTCTAGGTGGCACAAATGGTTGGTTAAGTACTCAACTACAAGCCCAAAGGCAGGCAGCTCAAACCCACCCAAGGAAACTTAGAAGACAGATCTGGCTATCTGCTTCTGCAAGGTCACAACCTTGAAAACCCCACGGTGCAGTTCTATTCTGCACACATGAAATTGCCATGAGCTGGAACTGACTTGACGCTAACTAACAACAATAAATACTAAAAAGGAGGATGTGAATATGTAAATGAGAGTATGCAGTTTACTGAATGGATGGATAAAAGGAGATTGGCCAAAAGTCCAGGTAGAAAGAAGGGAGAGCAAGTAATAAAATCAAAGAAACAGAGCATGGTCAGCAAAGCAACAGGAGTTTAATCAAATTCTTAAAAGTTTAGATTTACCATATTCTGTGTTGAGGCCCCATAATTTCACTTTATTCGCTTCATACTGGGCTTTTTTCTTTAACCGACAAGCCCTGTGAAAGGAAGGAGCAATTAGTTCACTGTTTTTTTTGTTTTTTTTTTAAGTTAACATTCAGAACATATTCTTTTTGCCTGTCAGACATATTCGAATAGTAACTAAAAATCACTGCCTACTGAGGTTTGTTTATAGGTCGCTAAGGCACATATACCTAAAAGTTGGCAGTTAGAACCCATCCAGTGGTACCACCAAAGAAAGGCCTGGCAATCTTCTGTTAAGATTATTGATTGTTGGTTGCTGTCGAGTTGATTCTGGCCAATAGTGACCCTATGTGTGCAGAGTAGAACTTCTTGATAGGGTTTTCAAGGCTGTGACCCTTTGGAAGCAGACTGCCAAGCCTGTCTTTCAGAGTGCCTCTGGGTAGATTCAAACCACCAACATTTTGGCTAGTAATTGAGTGCTTAACCATTTGTGACACCTAACCAAGAAAACCCTATTGAGGAGTACTACTCTGTAACACATAGGGTTGCCAGGATTGGAATCGTTGGCAATAGGTTTGGTTCTTTGGTTTACTGTTATTTACAGTAAGGAATTCTGTTACCAAAAACCACATAATACAATCATTTCTCCAAACTCATTTAAAAAAATTTAACACATTCCAAAATACAGCTATCACCAGTACACACCTATTAGAATGTTTCAAAAAGCAAAAACTGACAATACTAATCGTTGTAAAGGATGTGAATGAATCACTAGAACCCTCACATGTTGCTGGTGGCAGTCTAAAATGGTATATACAAGACACTTTAGAAAACAGTTTGGCAGTTTCTTATAAAATTAAATATACACTCCTGAGTGTTTACCCAAGAAAAATGAAAACTAATGCTCACATAAAAACCTGTAAGCAAATGTTTATGGCAGCTTTATAATTCTTAATTGCTAAGAATCAGAAACAATCCAAATGTTCCTCAACTTACGGATAAAGTGTACCACATCCTTACAAAGAAATACTACTTAGTAATAAAAAGGCACAAACCACCACTAAGTGCAACCACACGGATAAATCACAAATGCATTATGGTAAATGAAAGACACCAGATTATAAAGGCTACTTCTAGTATGATTTTATCTATATGACATTCTGAACAAGGCAAAACTACAGGGACAAAAAACAGATCAGTGGTTACGAGGGGCTAGAGGTTGGAGAAGGGATTTACTATAAAGAACCATAAAGAAATTTTTTAAGGTGATGAAAATGTTCAGTATCTTTATTATGGGTTTCTTTGTCAAAACTCATTAAAGTGTACACTAAAAGGAATGAATTTTACTGTATGTACATTATACCTAAAAAAATATTATTTACTAAATTAAAAAAATAAAGCCATCATAAAATTTTCCCTATCATAGTAATATACTGCACTTACGTCCATTCACCTCTTTGGACTTAAGAAAGCTTTCTTCCCTGAAGCAAAAATCCCAAGTTTTATATTCAAAGGAAAAATGGTAATACTCTCATTGTAGTACTTACAAAAGAAAAATATATTTCAAAATAAATGGTTTAGTGCCATTTCTTCTATAAAAACTCACTTAAACCAGCTAGCTACCTAGAGGGAGCAAGTACTTACACCTGTGGGCTCAGGACCATAGTCACAGGGGACATCAAGCTCAACTGGCATAACATACTACACAAAAACTGTTCAATGTCCTACTTTGGCGAGTAGCAACTGGGATCTTAAAAGCTTGCAAGCAGCCATCTAGATGCAATGATGGGTCTCTCCTTGTCCAGAACAAAGAAAAATGAAGAAAACCAAACCTGCATGGAAACAATTAGTCCAAGCGACTGGTACATCCAATTTTCAGCCTATATGACTATGAGATCAGAAGAACTAGATGGGGCCCAACTACCACCATCAACCACTCAGAGGGGGATCTATGTAGGAGATCCTAGATAGAGTGGGAGAATAATGTGGGAAAAAAACTCAAAATCATTAAAAAAAAAAGACCAGGTTTGCTGGTTTGATAGAGTCTGGTGGAACCACTCACACTATAGCCCCTAGCTGCTCTTCAGGTCTAGAATTGAACTCACTCCTGTGACTTCCAGCCAAACAAAAGATAGGCATATGAACTGAACATTTACATTAGGTAGATACACTCTTTGGAGAGACCAATCATGGGAGAATAGAAGGGTTGTGTATGCACAGGGAGACAGCTCAGGAAGCAGGAGTGCATGGGAGGGAAGGACACAGGGAAGAGGTACCTATGGGGAGGAACTGGGAGGGCAGCTGTTGCACTGAGGGAGATTACAGTGAATGTCATGAGACAAAGTATATGTGAGCTGCGGTATGGAAAGTGAATTTGCTCTGTAAACTTTCACGCAAATCACAATTAAAAAAAAAAACCTCAAAATCTAACCTCATCTCCCAGACTTTATTCACATGAGTGAACATTATTATCATTTACCTGGAAGCCAGCTTATTTTTTTCCTTCCTTGACCTTGGCCGGGCTGTTAAAGGAAGCTCACTGACTGGAGTCAAATCACTGATCACCTTATTCAGTTTCCGCAGCTCATTGCCTATCTGAAGTAGTTTTTTAGGATTTGGAGTCAGATCTTCTACATCAGTTCTCCGGGACTTCTTTACAGCATATTTTCCTACAGATCATTTAAAAGAAGTTTAAGTGAGATAATTTTATTTAACAAGAGACATTTTCCACAGCCACATTTTAAACCATTCTCTCCCCTAAACTTTTCTTTCCAGAAGTGTAGCACGTTAGCTAGACATTCCAGAGGGCTAGCTTGCTCTCCTTCATAATTTGTGGCTGCAAAAAATGGGGGTAACAAACCTCAGTTCCAGGCTTTCCCAAGTCATTCCCTACCTCTACGTTTCTAATAATTTTGATGGATTCTTAATTAATTTCATGGCAGTCCTAAGCATCTCAAACCCCAAGATTGGAGTACAAGTTTACCTATACACAAAAAAATAAGACAAGGGCATAACACTGGAGATTTTATCTAAACTAAAATGTTTGATGCTATGAATGAAACATTGTCAGACACATACATTTAATGTTAGATTCAAAAGTTTAACAAGTAAGGATCACCTTGTTTGAAATCTTTTCCTGGGTTGCTTTGATCCGTAACATTACAGATAACTCAAGGATTCCTGCCCTATTGTTTCAGGCAAAAGGGATGGCTCTGTTCTTTGAACTCCTACAATACAATGAACAAATTCCCTAGCACTCATCACATGCTACTTGGAATTTATTGGACCTGTACAAAAAGCCATCTGAAGGCAAAAACCAGGTCTTTATTCACCAAGAGAGAACAGAGCACAGAGCTAAGCACCAGTGGAAAAGAAAAATAAAGTACAAAATCCATTTCAGATATAATTCCTATCCTCAACAATGCTTAGCAAACTAAATCTAATGCGTAAATTACTACTAAACTGTTTATGAACATCAAACTTACAAGTGTCTCCCTGCCCCTTTTTGGTAAAAACATTCGATTAACGTAAAATAATACTGGTGCCCACCACCCATCTGTCACTCTGTTGTCCCGTGGTGGCTTACATGTTGCTGTGAGGCTGGAGGCTATGCCACTGGTATTTCAAATACTAGCAGGGTCACCCATGGTGGACAGGTTTTAGCAGAGCTTCCAGACTAAGACAGACTAGAAAAAAGGAAGAGGCCATTCATTTCTTAAAGAATTGGCCAGTGAAAACATTATGAATAGCAGTGAAACACTGTCTGATATATTACTGGAAAACTTTATGAATAGCCCTGAAACACTGTCCGATATAGTGCCAGAAGATGAGCAAGCCCCTCAGGTTGAAAGGCACTCAAAATATGACTGAGGAAGAGCTGCCTCCTCAAAGTAGAGTCAACCTTAACGACATGGATGGAGCAAAGCTTTTGGAACCTTCTCGGCACAACTCAAAATGGGAAGAAAGAGCTGCAAACATCCATTAATAATCAGAACATGGAATGAATAAAGTATGAATCTAGGAAAACTGGAAGTTGTCAAAAATGAAATGGAACACATAAAAATCGATATCCTAGTCAATAGTGAGCTGAAATGGCCTGGGTTTGGACATTTTGAATCAGACAACCTTATGATCTACTATGCCAGGAATGACAAATTGAAGAGGAATGGCGTGGCATTCATTGTCACAAAGAATGTTTCAAGATCTATCCTGAAGTATAATCCTGTCAGTGCTAGGATAATATTCATATGCCTACAAGGAAGACCAGTTAATACTGCTATTATTCAAACTTACACACCAACCACCGAAGCCAAAGATGAGGAAACTGAAAATCTTTACCAGCTCCTGCAGACTGAAATTGACTAAACATGCAATCAAGATGTATTGATCATTACTGGTGATTAGAATGCTAAAGTTGGAAACAAAGAAGAATCACCGGTAGCTGGGAAATATGGCTTTGGTGATAGAAATGAGGCTGGAGATCGCATGATAGAATTTTACAAGACCAACAACTTATTCCTTGCAAATACCTTTTTTAACAACATAAATGGCAGCTATACATGTGGACTTCACCAGATGAAGTACACAGGAATCAGATCTACTCCATCTGTGGAAAGAGGCGATAGAGAAGCTCAGTAGTTTTGGCTAAAACAATGCCAGGAGCTGACTACAGAACAGACCATCAGCTGCTCATATGCAAATTCAAGTCGAAGCTAAAGGCAATTAAAACAAGTCCACAAGAGCCAAACTATGACCTTGATTGTATCCCACCTAAATTTAGAGATCATCTGAAGAACAGACATGATGCATTGAACACCAATAACTGAAAACCAGAGGAACTGTGGGATGAGATCAAGAACATCATCCATGAAAAAAGCAAAACGTCATTAAAAAGGCAGGAAAGGAAGAAAAGACCAAAATGGATGTCAGAAGAGACTCTGAGACTTGCTGTTGAATGAAGAGTAGCTAAAGCAAATGGAAGAAATGACAAGATAAAAGAGCTAAACAGATTTCCAAGAGCAACTCAAAAAGACAGTCATTTGTTATAATGTAATGTGCAAAAACCTGGAGTTAGAAAACCAAAAGGGAAGAACACACTCAGCATTTCTCAAGCTGAAAAAACTGAAAAAAAGATTCAAGCCTTGACTTGCAATATTGAACGATTTTATGCACAAAATATTGAATGATGCAATAAACATCAAAAGAAGATGGAAGGAATACACAGAGTCACTGTACCAAAAAGAATTGGTTGAGGTTCATCCATTTCAGGAGGTGGCATACGATCAAGAACCAATAGGACTGAAGGAAGATGTCAAAGCTGTACTGAAGGAATTGGTGAAAACAAAGCTCTAGGAATTGATGGGATACCCACTGAAATGTTTCAATGAACAGATGCCACTCTGGAGGCACTCACTCATCTATGCCAAGAAATTTGGAAGACAGGTATGTGGCCAACTGACTGTAAGAAATCCTTATTTGTACTCATTCCAAAGAAAGGTGATTCCACAGAATGTGGAAATTATTGAACAGTATCATTAATATCACACACAAGTGAAATCTTGCTGAAGATAATTCAAAAATGGTTGCAGCAGTATACCTACACAGAACTTCCAGAAAAACAAGCTGGATTCAGAAGAGGACGTGGAACAAGGGATATCACTTCTGATGTCAGATGGATCTTGGCTGAAAGCAAAGAATACTAAAAAGATGTTTATTTGTGTGTCATTGACTATGCAAACGCATTTGATTATATGGATTATAACAAATTATGGATAACATTGAAAAGAATGGGAATTCCAGAACACTTCATTGTGTTCATGAGGAACCTGTACATAGACCAGGAGAGTGTCATTTGAGCAGAACAAGGGGATACCACACAGTTTAAAATCAAGAAGAGACTGCGTCAAGGTTATATCCTTTCATCATACTTATTCAATCTGTATGCTAAGCAAATTCATCCAAGAAGCTAGACTATATGAAGAAGAGCGTGGCATCAGGACCAGAGAAAGACTCATTAACAACCCGCAATATGCAGATGACACGACTCTGCTTGCTGAAAGTGAAGATGACCTGAAGCACTTACTGATGAAGATTAAAGATTACAGTCTGCAGTATGGATTACATCTCAACATGAAGAACACAAAAATCCTCACAACTGGACCAACAAGCAGCATCATAATAAATGGAGAAAACACTGAAGTTGTCAAAGAGTTCATATTACTTGGTTCCACAATTAACACCAATGGAAGCAGCAGTCAAGAAATCAGACGACATACTGCACTGGGCAAATCTGCAGCAAAAGACCTCTTTAAAGTGCTGAAGAGCAAAGATGTCTCCTTGAAGACTAAGGTATTTTCAATCACCTCATATACATGTGAGAGCTGGACAATGAATAAGGAAGACCAAAGAAGAGCTGTTGCTTTCAAGTTGTGGCATTGACAAAGAATACTGAAAGTACCATGGACTGCCAGAAGAACAGATCTGTCCTGGAAGAAATGCAGCCAAAGTGCTTCTTGGAGTGAGAACGGCCAGACTTCGTCTGACGTACTCTGATCATATTGTCAGAAGGGACCATCCCCTGAAGAAGAATATCATGCTTGGTAAAGTGTAGGGTCAATGAAAACAGGGAAGGCCCTCAGCGAGATGGACTGGCACAGTGGCTCCAACAATAGGCTAGGGCATAGCAAGGATTGTGGGGCTGGTGCAGGACCAGGCAATGTTTCATTCTGTTGTACACAGGATCGCTATGAGTCGGAGCCAACTCGACGGCACCTAACAACAACACTGGTGCAGGAAAAATTCTACTTCATAACACCTTCCCAGGTTCACAATTCAAAATTTGGCCTACCTAAGATGTAAGCTTCTCCCAACTCCTGTTATTCAACTCTTCTCTCTTCACAACTAACTATTCCTCCTTTCATCTCTTTTCTCTCCCTTTTCTCCCCACTACTATTTTTATTTCAATCTCCCATTTTCTTTAGGTCTGAGGATTGGACAACAATAGAAGAGAGAGATGTTGAAGTTCATTCTCTGTCTCCTCAACTCTTCTGGTTATAGCAACCAAGATGAATCAGTATCTCCTGATCATTTCCTAGATGGGGTAAGTAAAATAAGAGACTAGAAACAAAATGGTTTTCACACTTTCCTTCTTCTCTATCTAGGTGATGTCTCTAGACCCTGGTGAAAGCTGTTTTTGAGTGAAGACCAGTCATGGCAAACACTGTGGCTCTACTGTTTCCCTCTTTAGTTTGCAGTAGAGACTTGAACACTTCAGGATGCTGAATAAGCATATGGTTTAGTGTCTCTATTTAAAACCACGTTTTACAATGAGTGACACTAAATACTTCCCAGCAATCCCCTCTTACCATGATGTAAGCCATTTTTCTGATACATATTACTTGGTAAGGTATCTCGATTCCATTCAGATGGCCTCAGCATCCTCTCTTGCTGTGATGGTGTAAGTTGTTCACTATACTCCCAGAAGTACCTTCTTTTACCTCTCTTCCGAGAGGATATTGAAGTCATCTCCTTTAAGTCTTCCACAGAATCATTTTCATAGCCTTGAAAAAAAAGCCCCGAATTTTTTAATTCTATGACTTTCAATAAACCAGTTAGGAAGAAAAATAATACCTTCTATTTATAATTTGAAACATTTCTTTCTAAAACATTACTGACATGTCAAGGATAATGAAACAGATCTACAAAGTAACTTTAATATGGAAATCTCTAACTCAAAATATTTGAAGACTAAGTAACATAGATTAATTATACTATTCGTTTTATCTTCCTTGAGTTTACTTACAATCCTTGGGTTTTCTTCAATTTTATAAATTAGCATATAACTTTTTTTTGTTATCTTTATGTAGGATTGAGAGAACAATGAAATATAGCTACAAGAATGCCAAAAGTACCATTAAGTAATGGTACTTAAACACTATACTGTGATTTTTTTTAAAAAATGCCTTTCTTATAGTATTTAGAAATCTGAAACATTCCCAGACAGAGAGCTGTGTGCATTTCTATGGTGCTGTTCTATTAGACAGACTTCTGTGAGGCAGCAAAGGTTTCCTTTCTATCTCCCAACCTAAACCTTCTGGAAGAGTACAAAAGATGCCAGTTTTCACACAGAAATTTGCCTATCCTAGCTCATATTTTACTGGAAGTAATTTACATATACTTCACTTTTTAAGAAGAGAAGTATTTTCCTTACTAATAGGAAGTTTAGAAAATACTTAATTCTGAGCTGCTAGAACTGTTGGTCATTCCTAATCTCAGCATGATGATCCATAAATTTAATTCACTCTCAGATGATGGCCATCTTAGGTATAATCTGAATTATCAGTGCCAGGTATGTGGGAAGTGGAGATGGACCATGCACACAATGGATACAACAACAAACCAAAAGAGACCCAGAAGAATGATTGGGTGGCATTGGCAAGCAAAACAACTACTTTCCCTCCTAAAAACAAAATCCCTTGGAACTGACACTAAGAAAGTGAGGACATCTGTATTTTGAAAAAAAGTTTGAAATATACCATTTTTTTTTCAGTCCAAGAATCAATTAGGAGTGTAATTCAATTTATATGCCATTCTGGAAAAGGCAAAGCTATAGGGGATAGGAAGTAGATTAGTGGCTGCCAGGGGCTGGTGGTAGAGAGAGGGGCTGACTATGAAGGAGCATGAGGGAATTGGGGGCGGGAGCTGAAACTATTCTGATCTTCACTGTGGTGGTGGTTACATGACTGCATGTACCTGTCAAAAACTCATATGGCCACAGAGGACATGAAGCTCAACTGGCATAACATACTACACAATAACATTGTTCTACATCCTACTTTGGTGAGTAGCAACAGGGATCTTAAAAGCTTGCAAACAGACATCTAGACAATGGGTCTCTCCTTGTTCAGAGCAAAGAAGAATGAAGAAAACCAAAGATGCACGTAAACAATTAGCTCAAGGGACCAGTGGACCATGAGAACCTCAGGCTACATGACCATGAGACCAGAAGAACTAGATGGTGCCCAGCTACCATTGTCAACTATTCAGAAAAGGATCAGTTCAGGTCCTACATAGAATAGGAGAACAATGTGGAGCAAAACTCAAAATCATAAAAAAAAGACCGGGTTTACTGGTCTGAGAGAGCCTGGTGAGATTCCCGAGACTACTGCTCCTAGTTACCCTTCAGGTCTGGAACTGAACTTACCCCCTGTGGCTTCCAGCCAAACAACAGACAGGCATAGAGGGTAAATATTTACATCAGGGAGAGACGCTTCTTAGAAAGATCAATCATGAGAGAACAGAAGGATGTATTTGCACAGGGAGATAGCTCAGGGGGCACGAATACATAGGAAAGGTGACTACAGGGAAGAAGTAGGAAGAGAGCTGTTACACTGAACAGAAGTACAGTCAATGTCATGAAACAAAATGTGTATGAAATGTTATATGGAAAATGAATTTCCTCTGTAAACTTTCACCCAAATCACCATAACAATTAAAACAAAACAAAAAAATTCATAGAAGTGGACATTTAAACAAGGGTGATTTCTACTGTATGAAAATTGTATCTCAATAAAAATGACTTAAAAAAAAAATCAGGCCAGCAGAATGATTTCTCGGTAGCAGTCAAGACAAGCTTTTACAGCATCACTGGCACTGACAGCACTCATACCAGTGCACATGTCCTACAATATACAAGCAGTGTGGCAATGAATCTTAGGTTCTTCTTAAGTACTGACCCACTAACCAAATAACGTAATTATTTCTACAAGTCATATTATAAAAAATTGTATCAGATACATAAAACATAGCATGGGCCTATTTACTTATCCTATGTCTTACTTCAAATTAAAGGATTTTATTGTGCTCAGTAATCAACTCAGTTTTAGAAGAGGTACAAGGGCCACAGTGTGTCACCAGAAGTTGCCTTGAAAAGATCCTTGGCTCCATCAGGCCAAGCAAAAATTGGGCTCACAGAGATTACTCTAATTGATCTGGGAACCCCTCAACATAGAAAGATGTACCAACCAAAGCACTCCCACCTTCCTGCCGATGTCAAGAACTAATATTCCCCTTTTAAGTCTACCAACCCAACCCATAAAAAAAAGAAAGAAAATTATATACAGCCCCCTCAGGCAACCCATCTTCCCAGATTTTACTGATATTCTTTCTTAGCTAACAACTAAGCTTGCTTCTCCTCATGGGGCCTGAATTTCTGGCAAAACACTGTCCCTTTCACTTAATATACTCACATATTTCATTTGAGACTTCTAACAAGCTAGTAAGGAAGAGGTTATTAACCCATTTTAGACAAAGAAATGTAGTCATGTAAGGTTTAAGTGATTTGGCACAGTTAGGGCAGACTCAGGCCTCGTGGCCCAAGAAGTCTTGCGAGCCTACCTCCAAGTAGGCTTTCCACTTTCCCTGTGCCTGCCAAGTTAAATGGTCTAAATGGAGTTGTTTGTTTGCATATAGTCCATATTAAGATCAAATAATCATATTTCTTCTGTCCCACCCAAATCAATTACCAGCTTTATTTACTTATATACATTTAGCTTTTTCTTTCCCCAATAACGTATGAGAAGGCCATCAATTTTCTCTGACCCAATACAGTTAACATTTTCTGACAGCATATACCATAAATTACCATCACACACATGTAACTACGGATTTGTTAGCTAAAAATACCCACTTTATTTCAACAGAGATTCCCATGATAGAGAAGAAATATTATATTCCCCCATTATCATTGATCTAGGATTTAAGTAATTAAATATTTCTCAAAGTATGTTCTGGAGAATACTATTGTATAAGACAAGTTTTCACCCCCAAGTGAGTTCTGTGGTCAAATAAATTTTAGGAAAACTTTCACCCTGCATCCCTCTCTTGTCAAGTCACAGTGCACATACACACCTTAACAGACTAAGAAATCATAACAGTAAATAAACTCACTAAGCTGTAAGTTCCACGAGGACAAGGATCATGCCTGTTTTGCTCATCTCTGAATAGCCAATACCTAAAATGCACAATGCCTAGAAAAACAGGCACTCAAAATTTTTTTAAATAAACAAATCAATGATTAACTTTGTTAACACGACGCTTCTCATGGAGCCATTTCCCTTTTCGTTTGATGAAGCAACATGCTGATCTAATTTATTCCTTCCTGGCATGATTATGAAAAGTAAGTAAAAAGGCCATATGTATTGCCTAAAACTCCAAGTATACTTCTTTGGTTAGTGCAGACCACCGCCATTAATCTGGTATACTCGATTGTGAAAATGTTTAGTGAGGATTACGAATTAAACTCTCATTCTGGGAGACCATTCTTAGCCCCGGAACCATGTAATTCTATGACCCCAAACTGTTATAGACTGTCCACAGAACGGGCTGTATTAAAACCTGGGAGTCAGTCCAGCATAGGGACTGAAGCTCCATTTTACACCTTTCCTGGAACTTTGTAAGCTCAGACACTTTGTTGCCATCTGCCAAGAAACAGCATCAAGGGAGCTAGTCATCACAAAAGGCCCTTTGTAAATTGCCCACTACAAATTAAACCAATCAACCCACCCAAAAACCAGCATGCTGAAGAAAATGTAACTATCCCCACTTTTCTACTTCAAAGAATTCCTTCCTGCCTCACAAAAGTCACTTGTTTATAGCTCTTTCTTCCAAGAGGTGGGGAAATTTTCATTAGCAAATGTGAATAAAGCTCAAATAATATCACAAAACTGTGTTGATTTTGTGTTAAAGCGTGTCATTCATTACCATTTGTGACACCCCCTCCCAGGAATACTAACCAAAAGCTTTTCCCTTCAAGACAACTGGAAGTAAATGAATTAAATGCCATCTGAACATTTAGCATTATTTAGATGGGGCTAAGAAGAGAACTTGACTCTGAAGAGTCCTAGCTAATGCATTTCTGTTACAAAGCTGCTGTCTGGTTGCTTAAGACCAGTCAACAAGCTCACAAATGAGGGTTCTTCTCTGAAGGATAAGGCAAGAGAATGTGGCATGGCAGGACACCAAATGCAACCCTGGTTTCCTCTTCCTAGTGAGAATAGAAGGACTGAGAAAATGGAAATAGAGGTGGATTTACCCCATGAACTCTTCAGGAACTTCCTCACCTCTCAACACCTTTGTTCAGGTGAACCAAGTCAAAAGATTAAGGATGAATTTAAAATGGAATTAAGTCAAGGAAAAGCAAAAACACATCCAGAAGTCCTTGTTTGTTTTGGTGGTGGTAAGGTTACTGACTGACTTATATATTCCTGTAAGTACCAGTTGATAAAGACATTTCCTTCCCTACATTTTCCATTTCCCTTAGTTATTACCCATCATCTTTTTGTCTCTTCCTTCCCTTGCCCCCCTACACTAATTCTAAATATGGGTCTCTAAGCAATAAGGCTGATTTGTTAGACTTTAAGGACCACTCAGGGACAGCACTGGGAGCTCTGGTGGCAAAATGCCTAAGGCATTTGACTGCTAACCAGAAGGCTGGCGGTTCAAACCCACAAACCACTCCTCAGAAGGAAGGTTGGGCAATCTACTTCCGTAGTGATACCGCCTGGGAAACCCAAGGAAGGATCGTTATGAATTGGATCTGACTTGATGGCAGTGGTCAGGGACAGCACTATAATCATGACAACTTTCCTTAAAGCATCTCAAAGGAGATTTTATTAAATTTGCTAAGATAAAATTTTTCTGCTGCTAAGTGAAAAAGTCTATCGTCCATCTAGTTATACAAAGCTCTAAATTAAATGAAAGAAAAGGCATAAGCCTTTTTCTTTCACATTGAACTTAAAAGTATCTTCTGCTTACTTGAAACTCTACCCAAATCAAACTTGGTTGTGTCCAATACATAAATCTAAGCATTTAGAATAGAAAAATTTCACCAAAAAGAAAGTCTTTTGGCAGTAATAGTGCCTCACGGGCTACAATATAGCTACTGTGCCTTAACACCTGTCAGGAAATTAAATACCAATGTTTATACTGCCTGAAATTCCAGTGATCATCATTGTAACAAAAGGGTTCTCTTTGACAACTTATAAAGTTTCTTTTTGGGAACTCTTAGGCTTTATGCAGAATTATTAGCACCAACATTATTTGTGAAGAAAAGGACTTTTGCCAAAACTGAAGATCTTCACCTCTTTGTGCACTTTTAATTGTACCTCTTGGCAATGTCATTTTTATAAAGTGCACAAGCCAACAGTGGCAAGAGTCCAAGCATGTAGATCCTGAGGTGAATCAGTTCTCCACTGGTTTCACTTTCTGTCTACCTCTTATTTATACAAGCAGTCCCAGGGTATGAACAACATCAATTACTGAATTCTTTAAGTGGAATTTGTAGGTAAACTGGAACAAGTGCATACAGTTATTAACCTTACTTTAGTGCAAGAAAAGGCTTGAAGCCTTTTCAATGATTTAAAAGCTGCATGTGCAACAAGTGAAGATAACTGTGATGAAGAATTTGTTGTGAGAGGGGGTTAACTCAATCACTTCAAAGTGAGGGCAAATTTACATTAACATTAAAGGGCAAGCTTATAACCTGGGGACTCACTGCATGTGCTGTATAGAAATTAAGCAGAGTCTCCTCTCTGCTCATTAAATTATAGCATGTATTTTTCTTGAAAGGGAAAATACTGTGCAAATGAAAGATGCAGCAGAAACAAAGGAAAAGCTCTACTTTACATTACTCATACTAAGAAGGCTTAGATGGTTGTAGGGCTGAATAATATAAACCATCATCACTTGGTTCACCATTCTAGGTACTCCTAACTCATCTCAACTGTAATAGAGGGACATAGGCAGAAGCAGAAATATTTTTAAACCAATAAATTCTGGGATGAATCTGAGATAGAGGTGTGGCCAAACAGCTGGTCAAGAGAGTGACTAATCTGATCACTTAACATAAAATAAGCTAAGAATAGCCTTCAAAGAATCAGCACATATGCCACTATACAAGCAAAAGTGACTATATTAGAGCTGTTTGAATAGGAAAAAAAAAAAGGCACTAAATAGCCAAGCCAAAATATTAAATAATTTAATTTCCAAACTAAAAGAACAAAATCATCCAAAGCAAGGCTTTCTATTTAAAAATATTAATATAAAGGTCAGCCTGGCAAGCTTCCAAGTATTACAAACCTGGTTCAGAGAAAGTGTCACTAATATCATCATCCTTATCATCTTCATAATCTTCTTCCTCCTCTTCCTCCTCCTCATTTTCAGACAGTTCATGCTCACTGCCAAAACCTTCATCATGGTCCTCATCATCAGCATCCTCCTCGTCTTCCTCATCCTCCTCAGGGCTGCACTTGGATGGCTGTTCACCCAAGCTGTCAGAGACAAAGAGAGAATAATTGTGCTCTTCCTTTTTCTGGGATGAATCTGAGACTGATGTGCTGGCAGAAAGGCTGCTACTCTCTCCTGTAGCAATTGTCCCAGAACTGTCCTGGGGCAGGGGGCTGAGTAATAGTTCCTGGGTTTCTTTGAAAGGCAAAGTGGGAGTAGCATGACCCTGCAGAGGCTCCATCCCTTTTTTCTCTTGTCTCTTTGCTACTGCACCACAGTAGCAGGTGTTCTCCTTTGCTGCATCAGCAGGGTGAACCTGGCTCAACAAGGGCCGAGTCTGCTGCACAGGGTTGATCTTTACCTTTGCCTTTTTTACATAGTCTTTACATTCCACATGAAAGTTCACCTTTTCATTATGATACACGTTGGTCTTCACCATGATTTGTGTGCTTGAAGTGGGTTTACTTGCTTTTTGGACACAGTCTGACAAAGGGACCTCAGCCTGAAGAGTCTTAGAAGAACACACAGGGGCAGCTGCTCTGCTTGTGATCTTTTTACCAGGGAATGAAGAGGGCAACGGATTTTGTTTGACACTGAAAAGTGAATCAGGGTAATAAAGGGAATCAGAAACAGACTGAGAGTCTTCACTATTAAGTTGGGCCAAAGTTGGAGTTTTACTGATGACCTCTTCATCTTGGTAAGGGCTAGAAAAGTCATCAAGACCCAAGTAATCCACTTCTTTTGTTCCCCAGATGTCACAGCTGGTTAGTTTGGTATACTTTGTTAAGTCTTCACAGTATGTATCCCACTGTTCCCAGTTTGAGGTTAAAGCAACCTCATTATCCAGGACATCCGTGAAAGACTCCAGATTTTCAATGTCTTTGCAGTCCTCCAGAGAAAGAAAACTGTCCCTGGGATTCTGTTGGTAGTTCATTTCTCTATCCTGGGGGAAAAAATTAAAAATAAATAAATAATATACCATATTTTAGGAAGGAAAAGATCACCTCGATCATCATGTCTATATATCAAATTGATAAATCAATACTTGACCCCTGGTCTGTTTATTTTAAGATAAAGGTTACTTATATATTTTACCATTCTGTTTGTATCATACCATATAATGTATTCCATGTAATATTTTTTCCCTTGAACAAGGAAAACAAAAAAAGAGGGAAACTCTGTCCCTTAAGAGACTCCTAACACTAGAATTTTAAAAGTCATCCTTCTTTAAAGTTTAAACCAATTAAAAAAAAAAAAAAACTCACTGCCGTCAAGTTGGATCCAACTCATAGTGACCCCTCGTTGGGGGTATCAACGTTTTCAAGGTGATATCACTACGGAAGTAGATTGCCCAACCTTCCTTCCGAGGAGTGGCTGGTGGGTTTGAACTGCCAGGCTTCTGGTTAGCAGTCAAATGCCTTAGGCACTATGCCACCAGAGCTCTGTTTAAAGCTTAAGTATGGTCCAAATATCAAAGATTCTCAGCTTTAGTATAAACATTTTTCCTGAAAAAAGTTTGTATTTCCTGATTTTTCACTTAAGATTTTGTGATCTCATTTGGAGGGAAAAAAAAAAAAAAGTGGGGACCAGGTTTGCTGGGACTATGGCCCCTAGCTGCCCTTCAGGTCTGGAATTGAACCCACATCTGTGGTTTCCAGCCAGACAAAATACAGGCATATGAGTTGAACATTTACCTCAAGTAGATACACTCCTTGGAGAAAACAATCATGGGAGAAAGGTGGGCTGCTTATGCACAGGGAGACAGCTCAGGGGGCAGGAGTGTATGGAGGGATGGACACTAGAAAGAGGTAACTATGGGGAGGAAGTGGGAGGGGAGCTATTGCATTGTGGTAAACTGTGGTCTATGACATGAGACAAAGTATATGTGAATTGCTGTATGGAAAATGAATTTGCTCTGTAAATCTTCACCCAAATCACAATTAAAAAAAAAAAAAGAATGCAGTAGAACTCTAACACAGTAACAGAGAAGGATGCTCATCATATATGTTTGTGTTAAAAAGAGAAAGTTATAGAGTATTATGTCTATAAATCTGTCATCCAATTAAAAAGCTTTCCATATTTTTATATATGCATATAAAATACTGTTAGCAGTAGTTATCTTTCAGGAGAGGGTATGGAGAGTAAAGACTTAGGAAGTCAATAAGAACGTTTCCAGTTTTCCAGTTTGTTTGATTGTTTTCATGTGTGTGTCTATGTGTTCCAACAGCTTTAGTCATATATACTTTACATAAAATTCACCCATATTAAGTGTATAATACAATAATTTTTAATAAACTTATGGATTTGTATAACCCAGTTTTCCAGTTTTTATATACTTCTGTGTTGCTTACATCATATATAATTTAAATTTAATTAAAATTATTTTTCTTTTTTTTTTTTAATTAGGATTTGGGTGAAGATTTACAGAGTAAATTCACTTTTCATACAGCAGTTCACATATACTTTGTCTCATGTCACTGACCAAAATTTACAATGCAGCAGCTCCCCTCCCACTTCCTCCCCATAGTTACCTCCTCCCAGTGTCCATCCCTTCATACTCTTCTGCACCCTGAGCTATCTCCCTGTGCATAAGCAGCCCTTCCTTCTCCCATGATTGTTCTCTCCAGGGCGTGTGTCTACTTGAGGTAAATGTTTAACTCACATACCTGTTCTTTGTTTGGCTGGAAACCACAGTTGTGGGTTCAATTCCAGACCTGAAGGGCAACTAGGGGCCATAGTCTCAGTGGTTACACCAGGCTCTATTGGACCAGCAAACCTGGTCCCCACCTTCTTCTTTTTTTTTGCCTCCAAACGATTTTGAGTTTTGTACCACATTGTTCTCCCTCTTTATGTAGGATCTCCTACATCCCTTCCAAGTGGATGGCAGTGGTAGCTGGGCACCATCTAGTTCTTCTGGTCTCATAGTTGTATAGTTTGCAGATCGGATGGTGTACCAGTCGCTAGGACTGATTGTTTCCATTAATTTTGCTTTTCTTCTTTCTTCTTGACGAGGAGAGACCTGTTGTTGCATCTAGATGGCAGCTTCCTAGCTTTTAAGGTCCCAGTCGCTACTCGCCAAAGTAGTAGGTGGAACAATGTTTTGTATAGTATGTTATGCCAATTGAGCTTGATGTCCCCTGCGACTATGGTCCCAAGCCCGCAGGATCAACTACTCAGTCCCTCTGGGTAGCTGGCTGTGACCAAGTAATGACCATAACCTTGCCCCTTGTCAGCTCTACTATACACCTGGGAATTCTGATCATTCACATGAACTTATAGGCCCATTGTCTGCCAACCCTATATATGATCTTGGATACACTCTCCATTTAGACATACCTAATTGTTTAGCTTGTTCACCCATCTATCCGTCCCTATACCCATGTTTGCTTTCACTGACAACTCAGTACTGTATATGCAAAGGGGTTCATATTTGTTGTCTGTACTGCCCATGTAACTCTCTATGTCTTTCTCATCCTCAATGCTGCCATATTGGTCACTCACATTTGGTACATTGCCCTTCTCTTCATCCAAATCAATATTTATCTCTATCTATCTAACAGCATTCCCTCCCCTCCCCTAATTAAAATTATTTTTTTAAAAAAAAGTTTTTAAATTATCTATTTACCTCAAGAAATGATAAGTATGTTTTACGAGAATGACGATACAACTTACCAAAACCTTTGGGACACAGTGAAAGCAGTACTCAGAGGTCAACTTATACCAATAAATGCACACATCAAAAAAGAGGAAAGGAAGAAAATCAACAATCTAACTCAACAACTCCAACAATTAGAAAAAGAGCAACAAAAGAAATCTACTGTATCCAGAAGTAAGGAAATAATAAAGATCAGAGCAGAAATAAATGAAGCAGAAAATAAACAAACAAAAAAAATAGAGGAAATCAACAAAACAAGAAGCTGGTTCTTTGCAAAGATTAACAAAATTGACAAATCACTGGCAAATTTAACAAAGGAGAAGAAAGAAAAGACGCAAATAATGTGAATAATAAATGAAAAGGGTGACATCACAACAGAACCAACTGAAATAAAAAAAAGATAATAACAGAATATTATGAAGAACTGTACTCCAACAGATTTGACAACCTAGAAGAGATGGACAAGTTTCTAGAAACATAAGACGTACCTAAATTATCCTAGTCAGAGACAAAATACTTGAACAGACCCATAATAAAAGAAGAAATTGAGCAGGTCATAAAAAAAGTTTCCCCCAAAAATAAGCCCTGGCCCAGATGTTTTCACTGGAGAATTCTACCGAACATTCGGGGAAGAGTAACACCTATACTACTCAAACTACTCGAGAACACAGAAAATGATGGAATATTCCCAAATTCATTTTATGAAGTAATCATAACACTGATACCAAAACTAAGGAAAGACACCTCCAAAAAGGAAAACTACAGACAAATATCCCTCATGAATATAGACATAAAAATCTTCAACAAAATCCTAGCCAACAGAATGCAACAATATACAAAAAAACAAAAAACATCATGCCAAGTGGGATTCATGCCTGGTATGCAAGGTGGTTCAACATCAAAAAAACAATCAATGTAATCTACCACATAAACAAAACAAAAGAACCGTATGTTAATATCAATTGACTCAGGAAAGGCATTCGATGAAATCAACACCCGTTCCTGTTCAGAACTCTCAGCAAAATAGGGACAGAAGGGAAAATCCTCAACATAATAAAGGACATATGCAAAGCCAACAGCCAATATCATTGTTAACGGAGGAAGACTCAAAGTATTCCCCTTGTAAATAGGTGGAACCAGACAAGAATGCCCTGTATCACCACTTCTATTTAACATTGTATTGGGAGTCCTAGCCAGGGGAGTAAGGCAAGAAAGAGAAATAAAAGGTATCCAAATTGGCAAAGAGGAAGTAAAGCTATCTCTATTTGCAGATGACATAGAAATATATGCAGATCCTATACACAGAAAACCCAAGAGGCTTAGCAAAAAAATTACTAGTACTAACAGAAAGGTTCAGCAAAGGGCAGGATACAAAGTCAACGCACAAAAATCAGTTGGATTCCTCTACATCAACAAACAGGTCTCTGAAAAGGAAATAAGGAAAATAATACCATTTACAATAGCTACCAAAAAGATAAAATATTTAGGAATAAGTCTTATCAGAGACACAAAAGATCTATACAAAGAAAACTACAAAACACTACTATAAAAAACTACAAGGGATTTACATAAATGGAAGAACTTGCCTTGTTCACGGATAGGAAGACTGAATATTGTGAAAATGTCAGTATTACCCAAAGCAATCTACACATTCAATGCAATTCCAATCCAGATTCCAGCAACATTTTTCAAACATATGGAAAAACCAATTATTAATTTTATATGGAAAGGAAAGAGACCTCAGATAAGCAAAGCACTGCTGAAGAAGAAAAAACAAAGTAGGAGGTCTCACACTCCCAGATCTCAAAACCTACTATACAGCCACAGCACTTAAAACAGACAGACCAATGGAACAGAATCAAAAACCCAGAAATAGATTCATCTATCTATGGACAGCTGATCTTTGACAAAGGATCAAAACCCATTAAATGGGGGAGAGATAGCCTCTTTAACAAATGGTGCTGGCAAAAGTAGATATCTACTTGCAGAAAAGTAAAAGACGACCCATATCTCACCCCCCATAAAAAAACAAACTCTAGTTGGATCAAAGACTTAAATGTAAAACCCAAAACTATAAAGTTCATCAAAAAGAAAATAGGGACAAATCTAGGGGCTCTATTTCACAGCATAAATAGCTATCGAGCATAACCCAAAATTCACAGGCAGTGAAGGAGAAGCTAGATAACTGGAACTTTTAAAAAATTAAATTCTTATGCACATCGGAAGACTTCTCCAAAAGGGTAAAAAGAGAACCTACAGATTGGGGAAAAAATATTTGCCTATGCCATATCTGACAAAGGACTTATCTCTAAAATTTAGAGAAAACTTCAACACCTCAACACCAAAAAGACAAACAATCCAATTCAAAAATGGGCAAGGGACATGAGCAGACACGTCACTAAAGATGATATACTGGCAACCAACAAACATATGAGGAAATGCTCACAATATAAGCTATTAGAGAGATCCAATCAAAACAACAATGAGATATCATCTCATCCCAGCAGTAATAGCAAAGTTCAACAAGACAGAAAATAACAAATGCTGGCAAGGTTGTGGAGAGACTGGAACTCTCATTACTGCTGGTGGGACTGTAAAATAGTACAACCACTGTGAAAAAAGGTATGACATTTCCTTAAAAAACTGAAAACAGAAATACCATTTGATCCAGCAATTCCATTACTAGGAATATATCCTGAAGAGGTGAGAGACAGGACACAAACAGACATATGCACACCCATGTTTACTACAGCACAATTCACTATAGCAAACACTATATTCACTATAGAAAACAATCTAAATGCCCATCAAAAGATGAACGGATAACCAAACTATGGTACACTCACACAGTGGAATACTATGCTACATTAAAGAACAATGAAGAATACATGAATCATCTCACAACGTGGATGAATTTGGCGGGCCTTATGCTGAGTGAAATAAGTCAATCACAGAAGGACAAATATTGTATGAGCCCATTATTGTCAAAAGTCGGAAAGGTTTACTTAGAGGAGAAAACTCACTTTCTAGGTTACCGGGGATGGGAGGGAAAGGGAAAAGAAATTTCCGACTAGTTGGGGGTCACGTGTTGATTTGGGTGAGAGGAGAACAGTTTGGAAAGAGTATGTGACTAGCATGATGACACTGGGGAAAGGAGGGATACTGAAATGTGCACATAAAATATAGACAACAGAGGCAAGTAACAGTACATGCACAATACTGCATTACCACTAACACCAAACACCAGGCTACAGATAAAAGTATAGACAAGTGAGAAGATCAGGCAGGGGCTGATGAACAGGAATATACCCCAGATCAAGGACAGACTTTGCTGAAGATAATCTTACATAAGCACTTGTCACTTACATTACAGAAGCAACAGCAGAGAAAGTTGGAATAACCTCTCAGAGAAAACTATGTACCCTGAGAGAGAGAATAACCAGGCCTGCTGACTCAGAACCATGGTCTCCGGGGACACCAAGCTCAATTGGCACTTGTTCCACAACCTACTTTGGTGAGTAGTGACTGGGGTCTTAAAAGCTTTTGAGCGGCCATCTAAGATGTAACTATTGGTCTCCTCTCACCTGAACCAAAGAAGAGTGAAGGAAACCAAAGGCAACTGGAAACAATTAGTCCAAGGATATGATGGACCCGGAGACCAGAAGAACTAGATGGTGCCCAACTACTAAGGCCAACTGCTCAGAAAAGGATCAAACCTGGAGATCCTGGATAGAGTGGGGGGGGAAATATGGAATAAAATTCTAAAACACAAAAATGACCAGAATTACTGGTTGGATAAAGTCTGGTAGAACCCCCAAGACTATGGTCCCAGGTTACCCTTCAGGCCTAGAATTGGACTCACTACCATGGATTGGTTCTCAGCCCAACCACAGAAAGACCTACATGCAGAACACCTACCCCAAGACGATGCACCGACCTACTCTAGAGCTATATACCCCTTAGAGCAATCAGCCATGGGGCACCAGAGAGACAGGGTTCACACAGAGGGAGAGCTAGACACAAGAGTATATAGTTAAGAAGGGCACAGGGAGGAGGCAGTCACAGAGATGGGAGGGGCGGAGAGTTTGTTATGGTCCGAGATGGTAATCAGGGTGTGAAATCAAATGTATGTGAACCATTGAATGTAAAACAAATTTGCTCTGTAAATTTGCACCCAAAGCACAATAAAATTAAAAAAAAAAAAAAAGAGTGGTAAGTATGTTTTAGATACTGCATGGAATTGCTATATTTGTCTGACATTCTCTATGTCATACCCTTAGCTACTGAAGAATGTCATACTCCCTAGACTTGTTCTGTGTTATCATTTCTTAATCTTCCAGCTGAAAAGTCCTTTGGCAGTAAGACATATATATCAGACAGCTTCTCGTTCTCCTCATCAGAAACTGGACTTCAAGATATTAGATAACCTTTTCCCTTGTTATCTTCAATGAATTCATACATTCTTCTAAAATCACTAGAATTATAATCACAAGAATGAAAATTTAATCATATCCCTTTTTCTTTTTAGACATCTATACATTAAAAAAAAATAAAATCTACCATAAACTTTTACCCCAAATCAATTACAGCAGCATCCAAAGAAATGTTACTTACCAGTTCATACATGAAATCTGGATCTGAACTGTTCGCTAAGAGGTCTGTGCTCATCAGAGTCTGTTCTGAGAAGGTGTGGCTTCGAAAGGCGTCCCCGAAAGGCGGATCCATTCCGCTTACACTAGGCTACAACAGATCATATTCATTTTAGAAAGTTAGACTAATTTAAGACCAATTTTACTGCACATGAGCTCTGCCTCCAACCCCCACAAAGTAACATTATTTGCAGAGAACAAATCTGTATTTTTCCTACTGTTTAGTATATTTAAGAGCTTTAACTGCAGATTATATTAGGAAAACAACAAAGATGCACTAAAAACGGAATCAGAAATACAGAGTAGAAATAGTTAATAATATCTAACTTCTAGAAATAAAAGCTTATTTAATCACGTGTCAAGATACAGCACTTGAATACTTTTATTTAGCGATACAACTTCTTCAAACTGCTCTCTACTACCACTCTCTGTTCTAACTCCTAAAGTGGAGAATTTACGCCATTCCCTGGGGGGGTCTGCAGAGATAGCAAATCAGTCTCATTTTGTATCTAAGGAAAGTCTTACTTCCCAAAACAAGGTGGAAGACAATTTGAGTATCTCTAGTCCAACAAATGCCTCCCAGAATGTGACGGAGACAGGGTCAGAAAAATATCCCAAAATATCCTGGATGAGACTAATAACTTGGGTGTGAGTTCAGTAGACTTAACTCTGAAAAGGATACAATCTATTTTATAATACATAAAATCGTGGGGGGAAGAAAAAGACTCGGCACCCAGTGTTAATACTATTTCTTGTCTTCTCTTTGTTCTCTCCTTCCATTTCAACATCTACACAACTTACTCCAGAGTCAAGTCAAAGGTCACACTCCTACAGTGGGTTCCACTTTGCAATCTAACTTGGATGAAGGAAAAGAATATGAAAGAATAAAATTCTTTCTTTGCCTTTGCTAAAACGGCAAGGAGGCCACATGTTCTGACCTCCTCTAATTCCATGAGAGGAAGACAGGATTACCAGCAGTAACCCAAAGCCTATTCCTACAAGGCCAGACATGCTGCCTCCCTCCAGCCCTTTCTCCAACCGTTCCTCCCAAAGCACCACCACCTCTCTCTTGGGTTCG